CTCTTGCTCAGGCTGGTCTCGAACTCCTGACCTTGAGCGATCCTCCCGCCTTGGCCTCCCAGAGTGCTAGGATTACAGGTGTAAGCCACCGCACCCGGCCTCTTCATGATTCTTAATGTGTGCTCTTTGTGATTTCAGTCTTTATGATGGTATTCACCTTAAAAATAAATACTTGGCCAGGCATGGTAGTGCGCCTGTAGGCCCAGCTACTCAGGAGGCTGAGGCGGGAGGATCACTTGATCCCAAGAGTTCAAGTCCAGCCTGGGCAACAAAGGAAGACTTAGTCTCTAATAAATGAATGAGAATGTTATTTCTGAGAATGGGCCAAAAGTGACCACATTTCTTTTTGTAGAAGCATTCCTGACATGAGCTTTTGTTTTGTTTTCTTTTGCTTTGAGGTGGAGTCTTGCTCTGTCACCTGGGCTAGAGTGCTGTTGCATCATCAGCCTAGCTCACAGCAACCTCAACTCCTAGGGTCAAGGGATTCTCCTGCCTCAGCCTCCCAGAGTGCTAGGATTACAGGCGTGAGCCATCACGCCTGGCCCTATCATGGGCTTTTTAAAACTATATTTTAATAAACAAAGGAAGCAGTCCCTCCCACGCCTACCCCCCCACCCAATCTCAATTATTTTTCTAAATGAAGCTTCTGTTGTGATCTTTTTATTTTGATTGGCATATTACATTTTCAAATTCTTTGTACTTCCCTCTAGTGGTTGTTACTTACCATGTCATAAATTTGATTATGGCTGGACTTTATAAAAGCTGAATTAAATAGTTTTAAAATCCTTCTTGATTATAGAAGTCTCGAGTAAATTTATCATCTGTTGGTGTTATAGAGACTGATTCTTAACCTCAGTGAAGTTTTTTTATTCTTTTATTTTCTGGGTCCTCCCTGTGTAGCCTAGGTATGATATCAAAAAACTTGTATTACATTTCAATAGAGAGAAACAAATTATGTTTTTATAAATTGGAAATATAGATCATTTTTACTACATAGAAGCAATTTAAAATCCTTACCTGACTTCTTGCATGGGAAACTTAATTTTTATATGTTTTTTGTAGACTAAAAAAAGTGGCAAGCCGGGGCCATTCTTGCTGTCTGGATCCAGAGACAAGACTATTAAGATGTGGGATGTCAGTACTGGCATGTGCCTTATGACCCTCGTAAGTTTGTGTAATCTCACTGCTGCTTTTGCATCTTCACTGTGTTTATACCTTTTTGGATTAGATGCTTTGTGATATTTTATTAAATAATCTGAATTACTCTGGCCTTTAAAATACTTCAGAAAGGTGTTTTTCCTTAAACTTTTATAATTCCATTGTTATAGTGATATGAAAGTTATTTCTGTAGAATATTGTGTTATATAAAGAATCTACAAAGCCAGTCAGTGCTGCAAGGAGACACCATATCTTTAAAAATTGTATAATATCTCCTATGGAGAGGAAACAGTATTCTTACAGACTCATTCATTTTTTAAGCTGTTTCTCTCTTTTATTGTATTTATATTAATCCTTTTAACTGTTATTTCTTTGTAGTCTAGTTTCTTTGGTTTATTTTACTATTCTGAAGTTAATGGTTCTAGCTTTATGATTTAGAAATTGTTATTTCATTTTAGGAGCATCTAGATTTCTCTATGAGGCTATATAAATATTAGTAAGGGATTGTGGACATTCTTGTGTGTCTAAAGGAGTTCTGAGGGGATCTGTGGGTAATCAGTAGAAGTTTTTATAATTTGGCGTCCATGTTTGTTTAGATATTCTTCAAGTGCTGACCATACCTTGAAGTGATCGTCTCTCTGTAGAATATGACAGACAACATATGGGAACATCATCAGGAATTGATTACAAAATTAAACTCTCCTCTAGTAGTATCTGAGCTGAGTTCAGTCATACTATGTTGCTGTTAGAAAAGATGATATACGTTTAAAAATCAAAAAGCATACTCTCCCCTTCTGTAACAGCGCAGGTCACCGTGAATTTCCCCAGGGGGTTTCTGGCTTCTGTTTTTCAGCTGAAGAGGGTACTTTTTTCCTGCTTTGCCTTGGTATGGCCACAAGAGATACGATTTGATTTTTTGTTGAGGCTTCTGCCTCCAGTGATTGCTGACTTTTATACATCACTATAATAGACCACAATATTTTAAACAAGGGCAAAGGCTGAGTAAACCAAAGCAAAAGATATGTCACTTTATTGTGCCCTTTTTTTT